AGAATACATTTTGGGGCATGTATTCTGTAATCTGTAATGGAATACATTTTAAAAGTAACCTTCCCATCACTGTCTAAGGTTCACCTTTAAACACTTACTATAATCAGAGATAACTAATAAAACTGAATGAAACTCATTTATGTATTCAGGAGGCCTATAACGGTCTTGAGCTTGTATAAACTTGAAGTCATCTGTGAGGAGCAGTGGATGAGAATGATTTTGGTGCTAAAAAGCTGCCAAAAGGTAGTAGTGACTTGGCAGTGTACCGTGAGTTTGGCACATGTCACAGTTGCTCTTCGTCCCTCCATGAAATAAAAAGAAACTGTGAATTAACATTTAATTCACAGTTCAAAAAGCTCATTTTAATGTGTGTTTGCTGCAGCGGCTGTGTTTATTTACTTCTTCATAAATGACCAAAATATGTAATTTGCCTAAGGGTGCTCAAACTTTGCATAAAACTGTCTATCTGTGTAATTCTATGTGATGATGTTTGACCTCCTCAGGTTCAGCTCCAGTGAATAAGAATATGCCAGCAGTAGCTGGAGGGCTGAGATGGGCCCAGGAGGTGGAGCAGCGCATCCAGACCCCCTTCTTCAAATTCAGACACCTCGCCTATCCGTGAGTCTCACCTCAAATAAAGCAGATTAAAAAATGAAAGTTGATGTGGCCGTGCATTTGCAGTGGTCTCAGTGTGAATTAATCACTCTGTGAGCAGTTTTAGAGGCCTCATAAAAACGAGGCTTTAGAATATTGGACCCTGGAAAGATATTGGCTCTACCCTTTGCATGGCTTGTAAAGTTTCATCTTCTCTGCAGGTGCTTGGAGACTGCAGAAGGAGCCAGGGTCATCCAGAAGTATGAGGAGATGATGCAACTGCTGGACAGGTGTGTGCCGCACTTATCTCAGCGTGTTACACTGAGTGTCATCATGCTGAGATGTATGTATTACTGAATAAAAGAACAGAAAGGAAGATTAAACAGAATAGACAGTGAAAGAATGTGACACCGTTTTATTGGAGTGCATAATAATACTATAAAGGCAGATATTAAATATTAGCTTTAGTCTTTGAAATGTAAATGTTTCCCTGTAATTTCATGCCAACCTTTCTTAAACCCAGCATTTGTGATTTTGTTAGTTGAGTGTAGAAAATTTATGAAGCAGCCCCTGTGGAATAACATGTAGACATGCAGCTCTGGGCATGATTTATGTTCTCATTACTGTGGCGCTGCTCTGCAGATTATTTTGCAGGACTCCCATAATCCCATATGCCCTGTCACTGCTTACTGATGCCAAGTGAGAAATGGCCTTATAGACCGCATCCAACATCAAACCCTGCAAGATAAAGCATCCCATTGGGAAGGATATGTTGGGCTTTTTTGTTTGTTTGTTTTTTGTTTTTGTTTTTTTGGTTTTTTTGGGAGGGGGGGCTTGTTTCCTTTTAATCCTGTCCTGTGTTCTGGCAGATTTCGCAATCAGAATTATGATTTAAATACACCGTTGTGCCAAACACATTTCGCTTTTCCTCTTGTTCCGGGTTTATCTGTTTATGTCTTTATTTCTATTCATGTTATTTCACTTACTACACTACATATGTGGTCTATAGTATGACAATGTCTGAGGCTTTTTTGCCTGGATTAGGGAATTACAAATAGTAATGCACAATGTATTGCCAACTGCCACACCTGTAAGAAAAAACAAACATACAACAGGCATTCGAAAATGCACAGGTACATAAGCTGACAATCTTCTTGTGGTGTGTGAGGGAGTGTGAGAGAAACTGAGAGAGTGTGAGTGCATTTGTGTCTTTGTCAC